GGGGGGGGGTAAAGACTGTGGAAAATGCTCCTAAACAAAAATAACACCAAATGATGATGACTAGAAGTCAACTGCAGTGGCAGCGCTTCAAATTTGAACGAAATGCGCACTTAGGTTCCGTTGCATTCAAGGAAGGAAACTCTGCATCATCAAGATTACATCGTCTTGCTGGTGACTCTCTCCTCTGCTAGCTTTGCTGCTAAGGAGGAGGGGTACATTGATGCTTCTTCAATTGTCTTGCCAGGACTTCAATGCTTCCTCTGGCCGACAAAATGGTGGAAATCAGCCCCGACTATCATCTCAATAGTGATGCAAGCCCCAAAATGATGATTGCAAAATCCAGCTATTGACCCACTGTCTCTCTCACTCAACAATTTTCCCTCTCTCCCCACCCACTGAGTCCTAACTAAGTCAAAATGACTCCATTGACTCATTTTGCAGTTCTCCGACTATCTTCGACAATCTTCGACAATCTTCTCATGCCTTCGACGCCCCACCTCTGGTCGACAATGGTGGAGAAATCAGCCCTCATTCTGTCCATCTGTGAATGAGGCGAAGTCCTTAATTCTCCAGTTGTGTATTACACTAAGTGCTTGATGGTCCAGCTGTGTCTTAGGCCAGGTGTTTCATGACTAGATGATGTGTATTAAAGTTTTAAACTAAACTAAAGTCTTTAATGGTCCACCTGTGTACCACACTAAGCATTAGACTAAGCCCTAAAGTTGTGTATTATTAGACTAAGCCCTTAAAGCTGTGTATTATTAGACTAAGCCCTTAAAGATGTGTATTATTACACTAAGCCCTTAAAGCTGTGTATTATTAGACTAAGTCTTTAATTGTCCACCTGTGTAGAAGACTAAGCAATAGCACACTAAGCATTAGACCAAGTCCTTAAAGCTGTGTATTGAACTAAGTCTTTTAATTATCCACCTGTGTAGAAGACTAATCAATAGCACACTAAGCATTAGACTAAGTCCTTAAAGCTGTGTATTAAAACTATAGTCTTTAATTGTCCAGCTGTGTAGAAGACCAAGCAATAGACTAAGTCCTTAAAACTGTGGATGAGACCAATAGTCCTTAATTGTCCATCTGTGAATGAGACTGTGGATTTGACTTAGTCCTTAATTGTCTTTAATTGTCCAGATGTGTAGAAGACTAAGCAATAGACTAAGTCCTTAAAACTGTGGATGAGACTAAGTCCTGTGTAGAAGACTAAGCAATAGACTAAGTCCTTAAAACTGTGGATGAGACTAAGTCCTTAATTGTCCAGCTGGAATTAGACTGTGGATTTGGACTAAGTCCTTAACAATGTGGACGAGACTTATAGTCCTTCCTTAATTGTCCAGCTGTGAATTAGACTGTGGATTCGAGTTAGTCCTTAATTGTCCAGCTGTGAAGACTAAGCAATAGACTAAGTCCTTAAAACTGTGGATGAGACTTATAGTCCTTAATTGTTCAGCTGTGAATTAGACTGTGGATTTGACTTAGTCCTTAATTGTCCAGCTGTGTATCAGACTAGCTGTGTATTAGACTAAGTCCTTTGTCCAGCTGTGTATCAGACTAGCTGTGTATTAGACTAAGTCCTTTGTCCAGCTGTGTATCAGACTAGCTGTGTATTAGACTAAGTCCTTAATATTTGTCCAGCTGTGCATAAGTCCTTAAGTGATGATTGGAAATCCTAGGCCGAGGTCTTCGGACAACATTCACTGACTATTAACTTACGGCAACACAAGCGTGTGTGGTCGAAGGCCGACCGCGACAAAACTGTCGATACAGGAGTAGAGGGGCGAATGGAGGACCATTGGGAAGCGGGGTGATGGCGGACATCGAAGATTGATCGGCATTGCTATTTCCTACTACCACATGTAAGAGTGTTTCTTTCATACGAGTTGTCGTTCTCACCTAGGTGTGCAAGTTAGCATGGACTTAAAATTACGATGGAGTCGGATGGACTTAAGTTGTGCTTGTCCTTTGTTACCCTCCGGTTCCTAGGAGCCAGAGGGTACTCCCTTATAGGGAGGATACTCCCTTGTGCTCACCGGCGGAAGGGAAGAGCTCGGTAGAGCACGCCGCCGCTCTTGCGACGGATAGGATTTTCTGTCATGCCTGAAGTCGCGGGTTCAAATCCCGTGCGCTCTACCACCTCTCCTCTCTTTCTCCCTTCTACTTTCCCAGCTGACTGAATGTCATAAGGTTGGTGCAGAATCGTAACCAAATGACAGACCAGGACAACAAGTGCACCAAGATGAAATCAGGTACGCTTGAGATATGAAGTCAAGATTGGTATAGAATGTGATCCACCCGACAAACAAGGACAAGAAGTGCATGAAGAGGAAACGGGTTACTCGATGTGCTTCTTGTTATACCTCACCCACCCGTGTGGCTGAATGGTACATGCACGTCTCTCTCTCTCTCTCTCTCTCTCTCTCTCTCTCTCTCTCTCTCTCTCTCTCTCTCTCTCTCTCTCTCTCTCTCTCT